TTTTTTCTTGTTTCATGTGTTGGTTTTGCATCTTTCTACAGTTTTGCGTTGGTTTTTAGTGACTACATTCCTTTCTAGTCATTTTACATCTACTTGTAGTTCTTTTTCTATAAGTTTTTGCTTTTTAAACATATTCATCATGTTAATTTGCACGTTTTCGTACTATTTTTGGTATGATTTCATGTATTTATTTTGTCATTTAACACCTCTCTGTAGTTGTTTTCCCTTTTGTTTCTATTTTCACATATTTATGGAGACATTTTGCATGTTTTTGCAGTTTTTCGTGCATTTTTTTGCCATTTCACATCTCTTTGTAGTTACTTTGTGACTCCTTTGCCTGTTTTTAGTCATTTTTGCATCTTTCTTCAGTTTTGCGTTGTTGTTTTTGCTGGTTTTGTGTATTTTCCAGTCACTCTACATTCCTTTCTGGTCATTTTACATTTTTTTTGTGCTTTTTTTCTATATATTTATCTTTATTATTTTTTAGAGAGATAAATCCAGATTTCTCTTTTAGCTTCTGGATAGTTTCTCCTCTTGAGCACAAAACTAGAATCTTGTCTAGATTGCAGGTCATTGTTTGTTTATTGATCAGTGACATAAAATCACTCATAAATGTTTAAAGAAGTGGAGAGCTTCCCTCCTCTGAGCAGATCCCTTCCTGGGTTCAGCTTCTTCTGAGTTTCCTTCAAACGTCAACATTTACGTCGGTGCTGCCGAGTCCAGTCCTGCAGGCAGCGCTCTGGAGATCAGCGATGAGTGTTCATAAACAGCAGCTGTAATATCTGCTGGTTTGGACACAGGAGGCCGTTTACAGAACCACTGGTTTCTGCATGTTCTCGTCTTGTTGTCCATCATGTGTTTGATAAAGATCAGCGACGTGTTAAAATGCTTTTATTAGAGAGAACCATGCGATTTGTGACGAAGCTGTTTGTGTGTTTCCAGTCGGACGTCATCCACCAGAGCGTGTTCGAGCTGATCCACACCGACGACCGGGCCTTGTTCAGGCGACAGCTCCACTTCTCGCTCAACCCGGGTCAGGACGGCGGCGCCAACGCCAGTGAGTCCAACACACTGCAGGAAGAAGCTGCTTTATGCATGTACACATGCTGTTAGAGATGTTTCCGCTTAGTTTGTGTGTCTTTTCTGCTGTTTTGTGTGTTTTTTTAGTCTCTCTACGTCTCTGTGTCGCCGTTTTGCTGGTTTTTAAAGCTGTTGTGTCTGTTTTGCACGTATTTTCACGTCATTTCCTTTTTGTTTTGTGTCTCTTTTTTCTATTTATGGTGTTTTTCTCGGGTTGTGTCTTCACTTTGCTTGTTGTGTTTGTGTTGTCGAGTCACATCTTTGCTTGTTTTGTCTTTTTACATGTTTTTAAATATGTTAAACATGTTTTTCATGTATTTTCATTCAATCTGCATCTCTTTGTGGTTTTTTTGCGTCTCTTTTGCGTCCTTCGTGTGTTTGTTTTGTGTATTTTTAATCACTCTGCGTCTCTTTTGCTGCTTTCTTGAAGTTGTTTCGCATCTTTCTTCAGTTCTGTGTCGCCGTTTTGGTTGTTTCACGTCATTTCCTTTTTGTTTCGTGTCTCTTTTGCTTATTTATAATCTTTTTTTGGGTTGTCTCTGTACTTTCTTGTTCTTTTTGTGTTGTAGAGTCGCATCTTTGCTCGTTTTGTGTATCTTTTTAGTCACTCTGCATTTATTTCTAGCCCTTTGAATCTCTTTGTAGTTGTTTTATTTTAATTTTTTTGCTTTTTCCATATTTTTATTTTGTTATTTTGCACGTTTTTGCTGTTTTTTTCCTGTATTTTTTCACCTTTTGCGTCTTTTTGTGCTGTGTTTTGCGTCTCCTTTCCTTTTTTTTGTGTTTTTTCCTTTTACTAAACATCTTCTTGAGGTTGTCGTGCGTCTGCGCTGCTTGTTTCATGCTGCATTTCAGTCATTTAGCATCTTTTTATTGTCGTTTTGCATCTCTTTGCAGTTCGTTTGTTAGTGTCTGTCTCCTGTACTTCATCTTTTTGTGGTTGTTTTGCACATCTTTGCTCATTTTGTCGTATTTTTGTCGTCGTTTTTCATGTTTTTGAAGCTGTTGTATCTGTTTTGCATGTATTTTCATTCGTTCTGCATCGCTTTTCCTCCCATTATATGTTGTTTTGAGTTGTTTTGTGTTGCCTTTTACTTATTTTGTGTATTTTTGTAGTTGTTTTGCATCTTTGTTGTAATATTTCATGTATTTTTGTAGTCGTTTTGCTTCACTGTGTGTTTGTTTTGCTTCTATTTTTCTATTTTTCTGTACTTTTTTTGGTCATTTTGCTTGTCTTTGCAGCCATTTTACAACTCTTTTGCTTCCCTTTGTGTATTTTTTTTTTAGTTTTTCTTTGTGGTCATTTCAGAACCTTTCATCTCTTTCAGTGACATTTTGCAGGTGAAGTGTTCAGAGTTACAAACTGAACTAAGCTTCAGCTGAGACCGTGTCTACTGCAGATGTTCAGCCGTGCATCCACATGGAACAGCTTCTAACTCTTATTGGTCCCTGCAGGTGACCAGAGCAGCGCTGAGATCAGCAGCAACCTGACCAACTACGACCCGCAGGCCATTCCTCCAGAAAACTCGTCCTTCCTGGAGAGGAACTTCTGCTGCCGCTTCCGCTGCCTGCTCGACAACTCCTCCGGCTTCCTGGTGACACAAACGCACCACAGAACACAACAAACGCACAAACAGGTGCTTGACACGCTTCAGCCGCTGAACGTCTCTTTGCTCGTTCGTCCTCAGGCGCTCAACTTCCGCGGACGCCTGAAGCTGCTCCACGGCCAGAACCGGGTGTCGGAGGACGGGACGCTGGTTCCGCCGCAGCTCGCTCTGTTCTCCATCGCCACGCCACTGCAGCCGCCGTCCATCCTGGAGATCCGCACCAAGACGCTCATCTTCCAGACCAAACACAAGCTGGACTTCTCGCCGATGGGCATCGACACCCGGTACGCAGCGCTGAGTCAGGAAAAGCCTTCTAGCTCCTCCAGATGCATTCTGAACTTTGGCTTTGAACGTCTGTCGTGTGTTTTGTCCGCAGAGGGAAGGTGGTTCTGGGCTACAACGAGGTGGAGCTCTGCATGAAAGGCTCCGGCTACGCCTTCATCCACGCCGCCGACATGATGTACTGCGCCGACAACCACCTGAGAAGTAAGCGTTTGTTCATTCAGTGTGAGAGTTTGAACTCTACAGTCTGTTGTTCCTACTGATTTCATTTTACTTTAATGTAAAACAAAAAGTATTTACTCTGGTGATATAGGAGCTGGTTAACAGCCTGATCAGTAAGACAGACTGAAGCTCTGAGGAGAAGCAGCTCAACACAGAGACGATCAGCTACGCCCCAAAAAATGTACAAAAATATCAGGAAAATACTGGAACAGAAGAAAACTGTGTCTGAAATATGTAAATAAAATGTTCCTAAAATGTAAAAAACTAAAGTCACAAAAAGCCTAAAAAATATCAACAAAATGTCTGAAAAAAATCCTGATAAATATTCTGCAAAACCTACTCAAACTGGCCTGATAGAAGTTGAAAAACATTTATTAAAATTTATGAAAAACTTTAAGATTACCCAAAAATGTCTGAAAAACATTGATAGTTTTAAAAAAAATTCTTATAAATTTTAGACATTTTTAATTATAATACAGGTGTTAGTATTATTATGTAAAGTATAATATTATTAATAAAAATACAATAAATGTACTTGAAAAAAGCTCCCAAAAATCTTCAGAAAAATGTAAAACGAGGAAAATAGTAAAATGTATGAAAATGACCAGTAAAATATCGAAAAATCGAATTAAAATAAATATTAAAAATATAAAATAACAAACACAATTTTCTAAAAGTCGGCCAATAATATACATAATAATTTCCAAAAATTTCATAAAAAGGATAATAAAATTTAATTAAGAAATATATATAAAATGGCAATTAAATAATGAGGAAAAAATGGGGGGAAAAATGCTGTGAACCAAATTTTTGAACAAAATTAACTAAATATAAATAAACCCAGAGCGAGCCGCCGTCTGTTCCTCCTCGGTGTATTTATCACCGTCGGAGCTCCAGATCTGCAGCTCTGAGCCTAATGAGCTCCAGACATGGATGGAGCAGCTGCAGTGATTCCTCCTCGTCCCCCTCCGCTGTGCCGAACATTCATAAACACAGTCGGCTGCCAGTCGGGAACTCGTCCGACAGACTCACGTGTCAACGCGCTCCGGTTTACACAATTAGCATTAATTAGCTGCAGCGCATTAGATCTGCTGACGTCGGCTGTTTTTCTTAAACTGAAACACCTGCTGCTCCGCTTGTGTTGAGATCATAAGCTGATAAATGTGATTCTTTCTGCGTCCAGTGATGAAAACCGGAGACAGCGGCTTCACCTTCTTCAGGCTGCTGACCAAGAACCGGACCTGGATCTGGGTCCAGGCCAACGCCAGGGTGGTCTTCAAGGCAGGGAAGCCGGACTTCATCGTGGCCCGGCAGAGAGCGCTGACGTACGTCTCCACACGACTTCATCAGTGTTTTATCTCGTTGATGTCGAGAGCTTCATGCTGCAGGAATAGTAGTATAAAGGACCCACCGTCACATTTCCTCCAGTTTTCACTTTATTTCTGTTTGATGTCGGCAAAAAAAATCAGCAGTTTGTTAGTTATTTGCTGACATTTTAGCCAAAATTAATGTTTCATCGATCAGAAACGTCCCATGAACACTCTGATGTGGGTGTGAGGATGTTTTTGGCTATAATGAAGACGTTCTGTTTACAGATGCAGTTTCAGCAAACAGGACACGTCGGCTCATGTTTATTATATATTGTTTGGATTTCTGAGGCCTTTAAAGTTTCCTACGACTCAGCATGTTTTACAAATTTGAATCTTTTAGTCACATAAATGTGCAGTTTTACTTCTACAGCAGTGCGTTCAGTATGTCCTCAGTTTAATGTGTAGTATTCACTGTATTCCTGCACTGCTGTTTAGGTTTAGTAACAGGTTGAGCTTTGAGCTGAGACTCTGCGTTTGTTCTCAGGTTGTTGTAATTTACATCCAGCACAGGAATCATCTTACATCAAACAGAATCAAATCCTCACACATTCTTGAGCTCATTAGTTCTTTCGGTTCTGCGTTAGTTTCCGTCCTTGCCGCTGCTCCTGAATTGACCCAAACTCGTGTGTTGTTCTGCAGAAATGAAGAAGGAGAAGAGCAGCTCCGCCTCCGACGGCTGCAGCTTCCGTTCAACTTCACCACCGGCGAGGCGTTGCTCTACGACACCGCCCCCACCATCGAGATGCCCGACCCGTGCTCCGCCCCCAAGCAGAGGAAGGTGGACGGCTGCACCGTCAGCCCCAACTCGCTGCTGGGCTCCATGCTGGGCCAGGACCCGTCCGTCTACTGCGAGCACAACTCCAACACCCTCAGCTCGCTCAACGACGTGGCCTTCAGGGACACCCACGCCACCGTCAACGTCCCCGGAGACATCGTGCCCAAACCGGCCGTGAGCGGCCTGATGAAGTCCGAGGCCACGGTGCAGGACATGATGGAGACGCTGCAGCAGCTCCTGGGCGACAGCGACCTGACGGAGGCGGTGGACGTGGGCCCCGAGGAGCTGAAGACGTGGGAGAGCGCTCTGCTCAAGATGAACGTGAGCAGCTGCGAGTTCAGCGAGGACCTCAACGACCTCATCAGCAACGACATCCTGACCTACGTGGAGGAGCAGCTCCAGAAGGAGGGCGGCCTCAAGCTGGACGACTTCCCGGCCTGCCTCTCCTCTCTGGACCTCCAGAGCCAGAACCCCGACCAGCCCGGGGAGCAGAACTTCAGCTGGCCTCTGGAGCCCCAGAACCAGCTGATCCCGAGCGGAGGGCAGATGATGGCTCCTCAGCCGACTCCGGTTCTGGGATCCGTCAAACTGAGCCACATGGATTATCCTCAGCTGAACTCTGCCGGGTTGAACGGGCCGAGCCTCCAGCAGAACCTCCCTGTTCCTCTGCAGCTGGGCGCCGCCGGAACCATCGGCACTCCAGTGACCTTTAACCCCTCCATGGTGGACTCCTGTCCCCAAACACAGAACCAGCAGAGAACCCTGCAGGTCAAAGACAGCGGCCTCGGCTCGTTCTCCCTCCGGCCGTCCAGCCAGCTTCACCCCAACCAGATGGTCCAGAACCATCTGCAGATGAGGAGCCAGCCCGTGGGCCTCCAGGACCAAAACACAGGCGGACAGTTTAACCCTGTGTTCAGCTTTCAGGGCAGCCAGTGGAATCCTGCGCTGTCCAGCGCAGTCGACAGCTTCGTGGACACATTCGCCCCCGATATTTCAGCTGAAGCCGGTTTCTCTGCGGACGCGGCGGACGCGGCGGCGGCGGCGGCGGCGGCGTCCGGCTGCTTGCAGGGCCACTTTGCTCTGCAGACGCAGAGCAGCGACAGCCAGAGACAGTCGTGGCCTCTGGAGCAGCAGCTGCTCTCAGCCGGACACCAACAGATGGGCCCCTGCCTCGGCCAGGTATCGGGCTTTCAGAGGAACCCGGGAGACGTCGGCGCCGCCAGGCCGGCGTTCAGGACTGCAGAGGCTTCCGGCGCTCCGTTTCCGAGTCAGCAGGACTTGGAGGCGTCGTCCTCCAGGAGCTGTATGTTCAGAAACGCCCCCCCGGTGCTGCCGAGGAACGGAGTTCACCTCAACCAGGCCAGAGTGAACCTGGCCAACCACCAGATCCCCTCCAAGCCCTCCTGCTTCTACCAGGCGCTGCCCGGCAGCTCCATGCCGAGCATGGCGGCGATCCCAAACCCCGACGAGGCGGCGCTGTCCTGTCAGATGGCGGCTGGTCTGAACCCCAACGGCCTGCTGGTGCAGCAGCAGCCGTTCCTCAACTTCAGCGAACAGACGCAGGTAAAGTCCCGGTCCGGTCCTGAGGGTTCGACCCGTCACTGTCAGGGTCAAGGTGGTACTGAGAGGCGCTTCATCTGTAGTTTGGTTCTGAATCTAGTTCAGCTGTGGTCAGTCTTTAAGGAGGAGTTCAGATGAAACAGAGAGATTCTGTGTTTTCACAGTTTCTGAAAAATGGTGGAAATTCTTTCATTATTTGATGGAAGCACCCAGAGGTGTGACCCGTACCGGCCCAGTGCAGCCCGTACTGGCCCAGTGCAGCCCGTACCGGCCCAGTGCAGCCGATACTGGCCCAGTGCAGCCCGTACCGGCCTAGTGCAGCCGATACCGGCCCAGTGCAGCCCGTACCGGCCCAGTGCGGCCGATACCGGCCCAGTACAGCAGCTCCTCGGTACATCAGTCACTCTGTACATCGACTGTCAAAGAGGTTTCACTGAACGCATCTCCAGCAACCTGCTCCTCTGGTCTTAAAGGCGTTTAGTGATGAAGCCGTTTGTGTCCTGACCTCCTCTCTGCTCTCTGAACGCTGCCTGCAGGTCACCTGAAGGATCCTTGAAATTACTGCCGTGTCATCGTTGGTCACAGCTGAGTCATGATTCGCTCCTCAGCTGAGCAGGAGTTCAGAGTTTTAATTAATAAACTATGAATGTTTTAGCAAATGTTTAAACCAGAGTAGTCACACAGGACACGTTCAGTATCCTTTGTGTTTTTACAGTTTCTACCATCTGATAAATGATGTAATTATTTAAAAGGAAACGTGACACATCGTTAAATAGCCACAAAACACACAAAAAGAAAAAAGTTATTTGTTGTGCAAAAATGGAAAAAACCCCCAAAGAGAATCAACAAGTGAACACAGATGTAATAATATTAAAAACATCAATTATAGCTGCAGGTTATACCGATATCAGGGAGGTCCCATATCGGCTGTTTTTGCCAATATCCGATATGCCGATATCGTCCAGTTGTCTCAGTTTCTGATATCAGCCGATGCCGATGTGTGTTTGTTACTGCAGCCACGTTTGTTTACACGCTTCACGACGCAGTTTGACGTCGTCATCATTTGCATGCCGGTGAATGACGCTAAATGCAGCCATTATGTCATCAGTTTGCTTTATAAAAACACGACGATGCCGATATTGACAGATATCACAGTTTTATGTCACTATCAGGTGAATATTATCGGACATCCTGAACTGATCTTACACTTTTTACCTTTTTACTTTGCTTCAGTGCTTCAACATCCTGATTGTGTTTTATTTCATTTGTTCAAGATTCAAACGTCTGCTCAGTTTTAGAAACGTGACTTCCAGCATCCAGAGGAACAGGACGTGATGTTCTCTTGATTATCTGCTTGGACGCTGTTCACTAAATCTGTCTTTTTTTGCAGATCAACAACCGTCCAGTCGTTGGAAACGGAGTCTTCCCGTTCTCGACGCTGCCCAACGGGAACACGTGCTACTCAGAGAACAAATAGGAAGCGCCGGGACGTCTGGACGGCGAGGACTCGGACTGAAACGTCGCTTTAGAGGGAAACTAAAGACTCCTGCGTCTAAACAATGAAAGACTGAAGAACAAGAATGTGCCCGAAAAGGACGAGGAGAGGAAACAAGACGCCTCTCCTTCTCCTTTTTATCTTTTTTATTGCTATTATAAATATTTAGGAAGCTGTGAGGGTTGGAGCTCGGCTGGTTTTCGGTGGAATCGGAGCTGGATGTCAGAAGAAAAGTGTGAATTCCTCTTGTGGAGCTGGTTGGATTGAACCAAAAAAGAAAAAAAAAAAAGATCATTTAAAATTCTCGTCGGACGGCATCATCGGTGATCGAACAGCGTTTCCCTGGCAACGGATCAGAGCATTTATTCGTGGTTGGAATATTTGGACGTTTGGGAATCAGAAGGAGTTGAAAAAGGCTCAGTGCTGCTCTGAGACGTTAACCGGACCGGCTAGTTCATCATCACCGTGTCAGCTAAACAGTTCAGCTCAAACTGTTGATTGGAAACGTGTCTGAGACTTCATCTGCAGCCTGCAAGTTAAAAAAAAAAAAAGGAAAATCTAGAAATGTATAGATTTGGAACCTCCAGTGTCGCACAAAATAAAAACAAACAAAACAAAAGCAGAAATCTGAGCTGCTTGGTCGGGTTTGGCCACAAGGGGGCAGCAAGCAGCCACACACGGTGACGTTGTCGTGGGTTCGTGCTGATCAGAAGCTCCTGAACTGGGACGACCGGGACCGATTGATGCAAACGCTGGAGGAGAGAACGCTGAGAGAACCTCCTGGTAACCCATCTCCAACCTACTCTCATAAACAAACGTGTTTTTTTTCTGTTTCCAACGCTCAGAAGGATAAAAACATATAGCTGTTGTTTTTTATTATTATTGTTATTATTATTGTGATTATAGTTGCTGTTTTTTGTCCTTTTGAAAACGCGTCTTGATTTCGTTCATTTCAACTCTTTGCTGTCCCGCTGAGGGAGACTTGCTTTTTGCAGACAGGGTATCCAGAAAACGATTTAAGAAAAGAATTTAAAAAAAGAAGAAGCGCACAATAAACGATCACATCCTGCTAACAGACGGTTCGTCACACAGACGGGATTCAGTGAAAACAGCTGCTTGTTGATATATTTTAAAAGCTTCGTCACTGAGCCAGTTTCATTTCTCCTTCGTGTCTCTTCTGTTTTGTTGTTGTTGTTGTTGTTGTTGTTGTGTTCAAGATTCATTCGGTGCCTTAAACTGACGGAGCTGTTGGAAACTTTAAAGGGACAGTCGATGTGAAAACATTCAAACCAAAGTTTTGCCTTAACCAAGCCAAGTTCAGAGGGTTTATTAGATTTTTGTTGCACTAGTCCTTTAAAGTGTTTGACTTTGCCAAAGCGTAACACAGAATGTGATTCCTTAAGCCACTCTTTAAATTAGGACGATGATGCTCAGGATTCATGAGATTTAAAGACACCGATCGGGTTTTTCAGACTCAGCTATTTTTCCAGAGCAGTAACCGAAGCCAGGCCCGGCTCTGCCGCCTTCACGTCTCCCCGAACGGAGGATGTTTCTCCCTGAACCAGCCGAGGATGCTCGAGTGTTTCCCACAGCCACCTTCCGTCCTCTCGCTCTCTCTCCTCTTTCTGTCCTGCTTGTCTCGCTCCGAGCATCGTCCACCCGTCCGGCAGCGAAACACAGAAGAAGTAAAACAGTTAAAGGCAGCTATTGTATATTTCAGACGAGGAAAAAAAAACAAACAAACCAAAAACACACTTCAAGTGCCTTTTCATTGAGCGACACCGTTCAGCACTTAGGTGGAAAAGAAACGCTGCGAGGAGGCCTCAACCCCGACTGAGCCGTCAGATCACTCTCTTGTGCTTTTCTCTCAACACTTGACTTAAATACCAAACGAACGAGTCAGTACAGCCATCTGGGATGCTTCTATCCCAGCGGATACCAAAGGGACGGGACGTTTTCATGATTTTTTTATGGCGACGGAACCAAACGTCAAGCGAGAAACAGACCAGAATGATTGTAGTCGCCACCCAGACATTCACAAGTCAACGTAAACCGACTCTGGCTTGTGAATACCGTTCACGTCAACATCCGAAGCCGCTGAAATCTGGATGTAGTGTTTTACTGTCCAAGCTCAGCAGTTAATCAGCAGAAAAAAATAATGAAAAATGTCGATTATTCTCCAGTTCCAGGCTCTGAAGTGAAGGGATTTGCTGTTCAAGTGAATATTTTGGGGTCTTTTTACATTACAGACGTTAATGTAAAGAAATAATTCCCAAAAATCTGCTTTTTTTTCTGTTTCAGTTGCAGCTCGGATGTTGACGAGAACGTTAGGCACAAGCTCTCGTGTGCAGAGGCATTCTGGGAAATGTAGTACGCCGAGAAACCGCCTTTTACAAATGCTTTGGCTCAGTTTTTACACTTCAGATGTCGAAGGCGTTGATCATACTTTAAATTAAAAACAACTGTAAATATAGATTGTTCTGCATTTACACGAGACAAACGTGTTGACCACAAAGTTAGTAGTGAACCATATAGACACGACTCAGCTGGAAGTCCAGCATTCATGAATGAGTTCGTCGGAGCGAGCGTTGTGTTGAGTCCTGAAAACTGAGCCAAAGCGGCCGTGAAACGATCCCTGAATCCAGCAGAAATCCTCCCGCGTGGACGGACACTCAGTGCAAGTTGAAGCGTCACGATCGCGGCATCTTCTCCTCTTTTTTTAAACCTGCTTTTTAATCAGAGCCTCTTTTTTCTTCACAAAGTATTCTCCGTATAGGAATATAAATATTGTTTTTGTCGCTTGCTTCTACATTTAAAAATATTATACTTTGATTTTTTTTTTCAAACCCTCGGAGGCCAAGACTCCAGAATGCAGTATCTTTGTGTAAGTGTATATAAATATATATATTTGTCTTTTTTTTTTCTTTCTCCAAAACACGTATTGTCATATATTGTGTATTTTAATATCATATTGCCTTAACCTGACTCACGCCTGTCATGTTTTTGTACATTTTCTGCACAGCGTATGTAACCTCCTGTTGTTTTGTTTTGTAACTCTACATCTTATATCTCGTGGATTTGCTTTCAGTACGTCGCTTCAGTGTAAGAGTGTCTGAGTCGGTCTTTACATGCTCACGATATTAAAGGTGATCTGATCACTGCACTGGTTTGAATGTTTGAACTCGACCCTGTGTTTTACATTTCAGAGCCAATTACTTTAAAATCTAATTTAAAAGTTGGAGGAGAATTTACAGAAGTCTTAACTTGTTTCTGTAAATTGTTCTTTTCTTTTGTGGATGTGACCAGTGTGATGGTTTCCAGCGTCCACTAGATGACAGTGTGACTCTGTTCCCCCTTCAGTCTGATTTAACGTTTGACTGATCTGCTCCCAGTTAAGCCTTTAATGGTTTTCACTGCAAACTGGGCCACAAAACTGGCTTTTATTTTCTCACTCTGGCAAAGCAAGTCGACTAAAATCCCTCCAAATGTGAAGAGACGGATGTTTTGATATCGCCTCATTAAAAGAAAAACACGACTGTGAAAGCTTAGAAAATTGCTAAAAAGCTCATTTGTTTGTAATTTTACATTAAAAAACTGATAGAAAACAGCCACACGTCCTATAATCTGTAAGTAAAGGCAGCAATAACATGAAGTGCATTTAAAAAACATTAAATAAGTGAAATAAATCACTTTAAATAAGTAAAAATGGATTTTGAATGTAAAATGCAGCATAGAAGCCACTTTTAATATTATAGCAGGCAATTTTTAAAAATGTGTCTCTATAGAAACGTATTATATTCTGCTTAAAATTTCCTGCCGTTGTAAATAAATGTAGATAAAAAAACAATGCAAGATAAAGAGGTTGGTGTCAATTTTAACCTCATATCGTATTAATTTGTCTCATATCAGAACTAATCGTATATAATTTACAGATAAATGTAAAATAAAAACTAAATATATGGTGTTAATTTCTCTTATATGTAAAAACTAATCACACATATGTTCATTTGGAAAAATATTTTAAATTTAGATTTTAACATTAGCCGCAGTGAGCTAGCGGCCATGCAGAACACAAGACAGCAAGAATGGGTGTAGAGAATTGATTATTAATAATAGAATATTGTTATTTCATCTATTCAGGAAAATTGTGTTTCTTCCTCCTTTACAATTTGTGAATTTGTGTTTTTAATTAAATATACGTCAACAAATTATTTCTCAACTACTGTAGAAATCATTCTAGACTAATTTAGGTCAAATTAAACCAAATTTTAAAGCTTATTAAAATGTTTAAACATCGATGGGTTAAATTGAGTTTCATTTTTATTTTTGTCGGTGTTTTTAAAATTAAAAATCTCCACCGGTATTTTTCTTCCACTGACGTCACCTTTGACCTCCGGCGCGCTCCCGACGTCAAATCAGTGCCCGGGAAGCGCGCGCTGGTCGGAGCGGCGCAGAGGGATCCGGGAGCGGAGCGGAGAGCACCGGACAGCACCGGGGCGGAGGAGCAACTTGGCCGGTGTTCGGGTGACAAGTTCTCCCGCAGGATGTAAACTTCACCGGGTTTTATTTACTTCTTCTTCTTCTTCTACTTTTAAACTGCGGGATTCGACGGCCCGGCGGCGCGCCATGGACGGGACGACCGGAGCAGCGACCAGCCGCGGCAGAGCCGTCCCGACTTCAGCGTTCCTCACCGGGAGCCGCTCTCGGTGCGTTTCCCCGGGACTTCTCAGCGCGTCTCTCCGTCTGTAGCGTCCGTTCCACGTCCTTCAGCCGCCTATTGGTCGAGTTTTGACGGTGTTTGACGGCTCGGGATGCGCCGTGTTCACCGCTAGCTCACAGCCGCCTCCCGGGCGACAGCGGCTGCGTCACATGCCGGTGATTACCGGGAGACAGACCGGCTTCCGTGGGACGGTTTCTTGATGGATTTAGCGGAGCTTCACTGAGACTCGATGAACGACAACATGTACGCGGGACGCAAACGGAGAAAACCGGCGCAGAAGGGGTGAGTTAGTGCGCCTCATTACCGTCACTCATTAACGTGTGTCCATCCGCCACCGACACGGATCATTAAGACTGAACGTCCCGTTAGTTCAGCAGGAAACATGGAAATTAAGGATTAATTACAAGCTGCGTTTGTGTCTCCTGTAGCTCTGAGCTGCTGGATGAGCAGATCATTAAAGCTAATAGAGTAAAAACAATCATTTTTAACAGCTCGTCCACGAATTTCCCTCATAAATAATTAATTTTCCATTTATTTTAATCATTTATTGGACTCTAATTAATAAGCACAAGTGAAGAAACACAGTCTTTAGGATCTCAAACATCCCAGCCTGCAAACTAAATGTCCTCTTTGTAGGTTTTTTTTGATTCTTCATATCAACATATAACCACATGTAGTGTTTGTTGTTATAAACTGACTGCCAGCTTCCACACCTGCATCAGTACAGAACATTTTGGACACTAATATCAGCCTCTTAGGATCCAATTAATACGACATAAATACATGTAAAGCAAAAGTGAAAAATGTCAGCAGAGAAACAGAAGTTTCAGGTTAAAAAAAGTAAATTAAAAAATCTGTATTTTTCTGTATTTCCACAAAAAAAGATGCGACACTGATTCAGGTCATTGATTGTCAGCTGTTTTGATTAAATATTAATCGTGTGAATTATGGTTCAAACCAAAACGATCCTGTCTACAGCATCTCAAAGTTCTGCTTCTCTCATTTTTTAAATTCATAATTTCTATTTAGTAGGTTTTAGGACAACATCGAACTAGTTTATGAGTTCAGTCTTATTTGATGACGTTCCTGAGGTGACAAACATGTCCGCCCTCATGTCCAGAGTCAAGCCGACCCCGACTGAAGGCGCCAAGTCCAACCCGTCCAAACGCCACCGGGACCGGCTGAACTCGGAGCTGGACCGGCTCGCCAGCCTGCTGCCCTTCCCCGAAGACGTCATCTCCAGCCTGGACAAGCTGTCCATCCTGAGGCTCAGCGTCAGCTTCCTGCGCACCAAGAGCTTCTTCTCAGGTAGGACCGGGTGGAGGCGGCCTGATCGGTTGGGACAGGTGTCAGAGAGGCGAGTTTTTAGTGGAAACTCTGCTCGAGAAAGTACGACAAACGTGGAGGCAGCGCGCCGCTGATTGTGAGCTGCTGTGGCAGCGAGGACGATGGTCCAAAGGTGGTGACGAAGATGAATCTTGAAACTGAGACAGATGAATAAAGCAAGAGAAGCTGGTAAATGTCAGTCTGGAGATTCAAAATAGCTGCTTGCCCTTTTCTTCCCCTGCTCGCTGAAACACTGAAATAGCTTTTCACACCTCGAAAAGGACCTGCAGACACAGAGGCAGAAAGAAAGCCCAGGACGAGACGGAGCTGGAAGGTTTTAGGTACAGAGATGGTTCAAGAAACGGGTTCTGGTCAGATCTGGGTAGGTTGTACTGGTTTGGAAAAAGAGCGTTTATGGACCACAGAAACATCACTGAATCCTCTCAGGCTGCAGGTTTTGGAAGCAAAGTTTGTCTCTGGGCTCTTTTTTCCAGAATCCCATCATTTGCAGAACTGAAACAGGTTCTGCCTCGATGTTCGTTTCCCCCGTTGCTGCTGGTAGGGATTTATATTTGGGTCCACGCAGCCTCTCAGAGCGTAACTCAGCAGCTGCTTGCTGTTAATAATTCAGCCAGAAGGATTTATACAACAGAGGGAAGCCAAATGTTTGTTCTTGGACGGTGGAGGTCTGTTTTGAGAAGGGGCTGCAGCGTGATGGTGGCTGGTGGTGCTCTGGGCGAGGGTCGCACAGTCTGGAGGTCGTGACCTCTGCGTCTGAGATTCAGACTCTGTTTAAGAAGTGGTGAAGTGCAGAGGGCTGGATTTGTCGAGGAGTTAACAGGCTTACAGGCACAGCAGATGGATTTTAGGATGTAGGTGTGTGTGTGTGTGTGTGTGTGTGTGTGTGTGTGTGTGTGTGTTTGGCAGTCTTGAATGTGTTCACAGATTTACTATTAAAAGCAGATTGCACGTCTGTCCAAAAACAACAAACAGCCTTCAGAGATCTGTTCAGCCGGAAAATCCCTTCATGTCCCTGGATGTGGGGAATCTGAGTTTACAGAAGTTCACGAGTTTCAAACGGGCTCCAGTTGATCATAAACCGGTTACATCTGCTGTCGTACGCTGATGATGAGGCTGTTAGCTCAATCTGACCGACAGAGGAACCGATTTTACTTTCTGAAAGAGAGGAAGCACAGAAATATAGACGAGTGTCTGTTGCAGCTCTGAATGGATCATCATGTAAAGCTGCTTTTATTTCTCAAATCGTAGATGTGTTATCCACTACAGGACCCTGTGGGCTGTTTTTGGGACCTTTGTGCGTCCCCCCCGTTAACAACCAGACCCTGCACGACCTTTTTCATGTCTGCTTCTGGGGAGGAACAGACCCGACTCAGGTGTCCCTGCAGGAACCGCTGCACAGCGCTCGATGCTGATTGGTCAAACTTGCAGAGGACAACAACAAGCGCCATTTTTTTTTCCTTCTGCGCTCTCGACGTCCTTGTCGAGTCGCGCTCTCGTCCTCTCAACCGTCGCCATGAATTCCCTCGTAGTCGATGACAGCAAACCTCTGCTGTTCTGTTTCCTACCTGGTCCACTGACTGCTTCTTTCTCGCTGATTTATTCACTGTAGCTTCGTGTTGCTAGTTTGAAGGTGTGACGTCACACTTCGGCACTTTAGCCTCATCCGATCCGCTGCTGATTTATTTTTTAAGCCTTTTTTCGACGTCTAAACGTCGCGGCGCGCTGCTCTCACTGAACTATTTGAAAAATTCAGCAGACGTCCTTCAAATCACACGCTCACCCGGACGTGTGAGCGTGTGATTAAAAGCACATCACACCTCGGTGTCACACGCTGACCCTGCAGAACCAGGCCAGCAGACCCATCTCCATCTGAACCCTGGGTGACCCGGCGCTCGTCGCCATGTATTAATACAGCAGAACCGTATTGTAGGTCAGCTCCTCTCGCCCGTGGCCGTCCAGTGACCCTCGCTCCAAAGTCTCACAGTAATGTAGGTCTGAGGAGATGAAAGCCTCCCAGAATAAAAACACGGCAGGATTATCCACTCGTGGACGCTGTGTGGATCTTTTGAAGAGAAACGGATTGAACAAAGCACATCGCCTGGAAAAAAAAAAGAAAACCCAATAAATTCCACGGCGCTGTAATAAAGCCACATGCTTGATCTGATTACGCACAACAACATCATCACATGAATTTATAAATGCAGCAGCCGGAGTTTGTAGGATGAGTCCAAATCACTGCTGCAGGCGCTCATTTCATAGGCCTGTGGTTTTATATTTAGACTGAAGGACTCGAGTGAATGTGGGTTATGCATCACACACGGCTCAGGAGTAGCAGCGATGGATCCATCGGTCGTCGGCTATTGAATTAATGGTCACTGTTTTGAGTCAGAACTCTCTGATTGCAGCTTTTTACATATGTTCTGGGTTCTTTCCTCTTCTGTCACAGCAGACTGGGAATCTCTCTGACACTTTATAGACTAAACTACTCATAATGGTTAGTTGTAGCTGCGTTTACACCGCATATGTAAGTGCCTTCACATTTAAGGGGAAGAACTGTTCAGTGTGCAGCTTCCCTCTCAGCTTTCAGTGTTTTATTGCGGAGATATGAATCCGGTGATGTTTGTCAGCCTCCATTCGGTCATTTGTCAGAAACGCTGAGACGTTCTTTAAGTGAACTTTTCCCAAACTTTCCCTTCCAGCTCTCCACTTGTGTCTTTGCGCATTAGACTTTGTTCCGCCTCATGAAGCAGCAAATGCAGGAGAAGAAAAATGTCAAATACGCTCTTGTGCAGGCCGAAGCTCAGATCTGTGTGTCGATGCTGCGTTCAGGGCGTCTGGTAGAAGTGATGATGAACCGTGCAGGTGACTTGTCGTGACGGTGGCTGAACCATGTTTGTGTTTGTTCACAGCGTTGGTCCACAGTCCAGTTGCAGGTTTAGTGGTGGGACTGGTGTCACTCCTGTGTGTTGTGTTGCTTCACATCTGTCTCCATGTGCAGCCATCTGCCTCGTACTCTAAGCAGATTAGTGCTGACTTATGTAACACAGCATCATTGTGTTTTCTCTTATTTTGTCACATGTGCTGTTTTGCTGTTGTTTCCACACTCTGACATGTCCGTGAGTGTGTGTTCATGTTGTGTAACACCACAGCGCCACTGAATCAACCTGAAGTTTATGTAATGTTCTGGTCAGTTCCAGTGTCGGGACGGGTTGATGGAGAGCCACTAAAACAATCCAATAACGTGCTCGAGGTCCTTCATGAATATTTAACACCAACGTATTTAAGCCCAACACCCACAAACACACAGCTGTTTGCAGACATCTCGCTCTGTTTTGCTCTCGCTGTCATCAGGGAGGTGCCCTCCTGCCGCCGCCGCCGCCGCCGCTGCTGCACTCGACTGAACCTTTGAAAAATTCATTTCGGTCACACACCCTGTGAACACGGGCTGGTGGGGGATGAGACGCCGGATTAGACGGGTCATTGTTTGTGTCGTCGTCATCCCCCCCCTCCTCCACATCCAGGTCCACCGTCAGCTGGTTCGCTCATCAGTTGTTGTGTTGAGATGTCAAATTATCTGCCTGAGAAAACCAGCCTGACCTCCAAAGGGTTTGTAGGTTCGCTCGTCGCTTCGTCGACTCATGCACATTTTTAATTTTTATTTTCTGGGTCAAGTTACGTTAGCAGGCAGGAGAGGAGGAAGCTGGAGACCATAGCAGCACCAATCCAATTTATTTCATATTAACGTTTAGATTACTTTTAGCGTTGTATTTATTGTATGTTTGTTTACTGGCAGTCAGTAAATTTACAGAAATATAAATAATCACCTGAAAAAGTTGTTTCAGTCGTTTATCAGATGAACTTTTGCTGGTTTGAGCTTCTCCAATGGGATTTAATCTCATCTTTATCACTAAAAACTGAATATTTGTCAGTTTTGAGCACATCGCTGGACTAAAGAAGACATTCAAAAGCCTCACATGGAGCTCTATTGATCACTTATATAAACTTACACACACACAGATGTAAATATACACAGTTCTGTCACACAGATGTGCACAGTTACATACAGAAATATACACAGATGTGCAACGTTAAACATGAACATACACAGATATGTAGAGATATAGATGGACACAGTGTTTAGAATACGTGCACACATGCAGTCAGCATATCTGAGCCGGCCTTTGAACTGTCCTGTCAGTGCCGTTACAGATTCATGCTTTTGATGGCATCACGTGTGGTCGTAGCTCCGTCACGTGTTCTAAATCTGTTGCATAGCGATTGTTGATCTGAAGCTTGACTTTAAACAAGTATATCACAAATCATATGTCAGCGTCTGTGAGCACAGACGTACAGAAATACACACAGATCTTTATGGATGTGCACAGAAATACATAATTAGACACAAATAAACACGGTCATATATGCACAGATGTACCCAGAAATACAGAAACCAACACAGCTGAGGTCCACATTCATAATTCTTTATGCTTCATGAGTTTTTTTTCTCTGGATTCAAACTTCTCCTCCTTTCACTGAGAGCTCGTTCAGACCTCCGTTCTCTTCCTGTGTGCCTCCGTGCGTCCAGCCAGACGACTGAAGAGCGTTTGTTGTGATGTTTTTATCGGCCGCCGTTGTCCTCGCCGCCCTGCGTTTTGCCAACAGATGTCCCTTCCCCTCCTCCTCCGCCGCCTCGGGGTGTTTTTCCTCGCTGCCGTCCGTGACGTCAGGGCGCAGATACACCCCTTCCACCCCTCGCAGCTCTTAATTATTGATAGTCGACGTGCTTTTTTTCGCCCTTTCTTTGCACGGCGAGCTTCCACTACACTTAGGCACCGGCACACAAAGGTTTCAGTGAGGAGTCATCTTTGAGTTAAGGTCACTGCTTCAGCAGCAATCCATTTAAATCACTGGTTTTGTTGTGAATCATTCAGCCTCGATGACTCTGTGCTGACAACACGTAGCTGGTATTACTGCTCATGGCTGCTCCGAGGCACCAACACAGCTTAAGTTTTTTTTATAATCAATCATAATAATAAACTAATGAAAAGTGTCCGCTTCCACACATGAGCAGCTTTTAATGAAATTCATCAGAAATCCTAACTTGAATGTGACTCGGTGCCATTACCACGAGGCTGGTGGACACAGCGCCTCCATTCATGACAATAAAGACATGCAATGGAGCTTTATTGATCCCTGTGGGGAATCTGGGTCGCGATCAGACGAAACAGTTTAACCGGTCCAACCTTCGGCCCCGGCATTGTCGCGGACTTCCTCTTCCATTAGCGTCTCTGCTGCTGCTTCAGAAGAAGTCCTTTGTTTCCTTCAGACTGGGTCCACTCAATCAGACTCTGTCCCCGGGGTCTGAGGCACACTGCTGGCCTCCATGTTTTGTCTCAGGGGCTAAAGGTCACGGAGAAACCCCCCTGGGGCTGTTTGTTCGCCCCACTGTACAGGAAGTGCTTCAGTCGCAATAAAAAAAAGGATTTGTACGCGTTTGATTGGAAGATAATGAAAACACTAAATCGTAGTTCATATGTGTTAGTTAGTTTTCTATTTATTCTGTAAATAAGCGTTAATCGCTCCCTTTTCCCGCTCATTGAAGGTGTTATTCTCTGTATATGTGTCCTGAAATTCCCTCTTCCAAGCTAATGTGGAAATCCTAAGATAACAGACTTAATTGAAGCAGAACGACGTGAAAGAAGCAACACAAGAAAAACAAAAATAAAGATATAACAAGGAGTCTGTATATCTGAGGCGTGATGAGTTTACATACGGACATGTTGCAGTTCTAACGTCGTACGTAAGCATCACTAACTTGTTCCTGTTTCTACAGTGGCGTTGAAGAACCAGCTGTCCAATGGCGTCAACAAGAGCAGCGACGGCAACAACGGCAGCAAGACGGCGAGATCTGCCGACGGACGGATACCTGAGGGGGAGCTGCTGCTGCAGGTGGGTCACAAACGGCCAGTTTTGTTTTATTTTTGTGCTTATGGTGGGCTCTCTAACTCTAAGCACTGTTTTGTGATTACACTTGAAGCAACATGAATGTGTCCTAAACGCTTAGATCGCTGCGTCTTTGGCAGCATGTTTTGCGATCAACAAGTCGCTATCACCTGGCTGCTGCTGACCTCTGCGGCTCTGCTCCGTGCATCACGCAGAGACTCGGTGGTGTTGCTGAAGCCCTCTGATGGAGGAGAGGCCGCTCTGCACAGCAGGACAGCAGCACAAATGGCTTGTTTTCATGGACTTACAGCAGAAACATCTCTGCTTTTGGCTGTCGGCCGGAGAGAGTTTGAGACAGCGGTCAGTTGTTTTTCACCCAAACAGGGCTGCTGCCTCACAGCAATGTTATTTCCTACAAACAGCAGCAGGATGTTGTTGATTTACCTGCAGTTTAGTTCTTATGTAGGTGTGTGTCTGTTAAAGGGAGATGAGCTCTGTGTGCGGCTACATAGAGGAACTGTTGGCAGCCTGTCAGAGGAAAACAATCAGCACCAAAATGATAAGAACCGAGGACAACAACAAACAAATAAAATGCAGTTTTGTTAATTCGGGTTTCACTTACTTACAGATAATATACCTTTATTGTTTAGTCACCTCCTAACGAGCTCCTCTGAGCAAGAAAACTTTGGTAGGGATCAAAGTAATAAGTTGAAACATGATTAAAATAAGACGTAGATTCTTCAGACGCACACACACACAGGTCCAGATGAGCCATAACACTGATGCATGTCTGTTACACGTTCCTCGTTTTGCCCCTAATTGACCCAAAAAAAGTCCTGTTTAACGAGGTTTTATGTTCAGTCTCATGATACCTGCTCTTTAATCAATCAACCGGTGTGAACAGTTTGCAGCCACACAGACGACTTCTTTGACATGATTTAAAGAAGTCATGATGAAGTCATGGATCAGTCCTTAGAGGTTGTTGTTGTTGTCGCGCTGACAGTAACCGTGGAGATCGTCCGACCAATGACAAGTTGTTTGGATGGGAGCTTATCAAGCAGTCCATCTGTGTTTTATGGATGATTCACGCTGTGGTGCAGATATTCCCCCTAATAATTAAATCAAAGGGGAGCTGAAGTCGTAAAAAACTGTTTCTCAGTTTCTTGGCTTGGTGTGATGCAGCTCTGCACCGTTCATCACCTCAGATCACAGCGGATTGGACAGGAGCCTGAAACCGGCGCTCACTGGTTTACTGCATGTCCACGGCGACTTCCAGACAGACAGAAGTAAACACCGACTTCTCCGACCCCAGTCCGGTTATTGATAAATGTATTGATCGCGGAGGAGTGAACTGCTCGGCGCAGGACGGCTGCAGCTTCCTGCCTTGAGCTGCTCTGGTCCATTACAGACACCAGCCCATGAATTATCCAGAGCCGGTGAACACATCTATTATTGAAGCGAGGGGGCTTTGGATCGACCATGTGTGTTGGTGGAAATAAACTAAAAGCATTTAAAGTATTCTTGGATGTTTCACAGTATATCACCACAGCGCTGCTGCCGTCATGGTCCTCCAGCAGACCGGCCAGTTGTAGCCCAGTGTGTGTGTGTGTGTGTGTGTGTGTGTGTGTGTGGCGCTCAGATAAAGAGATCTGTCTCTGATCTCATTTATTTTGACGACATGCCAAAGAGAGGCTGGTGAAGCGGCTCTGACAGCGTGAAGCTTTGAACTCTTGTGTTGTGATAAACAGAGACAGAGAGTCTTCCTGTGATTCGCTGGCTGTTGTTGGGTTTGTCGTCTTCCAGTGAACACACCGACAAAGACAACAAACATCACACACACACACACTCCGTCTGGATCTCAGGAGGGCGAGGTTGACCAAACATGAGAGGCAGAGGGGGATGTGTTGTGTGCAGACAGATGAATCTACGATAAATATTTATACTCGGCGCATGTATGCTACCACAGTGTGTGTGTTCATGTGTGTGTGTGTTCGTGTGTGTGTGTGTGTCGGACAGCTCTGGGCGGGGTCACCTGCTGTAGCTTCAGGCTGCTCGCCAAACCTTTGATCCAAACCTAATCTGGTCACGGATGAATATTTGATTCTATTAAATAATTTCAGGTCTGATTTTTAATTCATTAACAAAAAAAAAAATCTGTTGACTCAGCAGCGATAGTGCAACCTCAGGAGAATTACCCTCATTGTTGTGGAATATCTTGTCTATAAAAGGTCAATTAAAATAAAAAAACAGCCTCACAAATGTCCCAATAACCTGTTTTGTCCACATTTCAGTCAGTTTGCTCATCCCTCAGTTCACTAGTTCGGTCTTCTGTATATAAAATGTCAGAAAATCATAAAAGTATCTGTGATTCCTGAAGCCCAGCATGAAATAAAATGTCTTGTTTTGTCCTCAACCTGAAAGCAAGAAGCTGCAATCAGAGAATTTACTTTTCTTTCTTGAAACATTCCTCGAACTGATTATTCACGAGTCCAGACACACGCCTGTCAGTTTGATATTAGACGACTGTGTTGTTGCAGCTCTGCTCCTGTGTGATGCAGAAACTATTTGAATCCTGCGACCTCTGACCTGAACACAGACTCACTTTCACCCATTAAGCAGAGTCCGTCTGTCTAAATATAAAAACGCTGGCCTATAAAGTAAAACCCCGCAGCGGCGTTTTCGATTCATGGCACAAAGCGGTGACTCAGGCTTCATGTGGTGATGTTGGACCGATGATGCATCATCAGCTCCAGCATGGAGCCTTATTCAGACCGAAGGAGCTGCAGTCACAGAATTCAGACTTTTATTTGCCTCAAAGTTGAGATTAGTTTGACTTATTTTTCTTTTCTTCTCGTCGTCGGTGGTTCTTTACTTTCATTTAATTAACATGTGATGATCGAGAAGCTCAAACCGTTTGGCATTTTACCATCAGCGTTGTTCATGAATTTGAACTAATTAGTGTAGTTGTTGCAGGACTAATAACAACCTGAGATGCATACTGTGTTATACCGTTAAGGGGAAACGATAAAAGCCTGAATATATAATCAACTTTTTGTTATCTAATAAATTAGTCGTTAGCTTTTATGATAATTAACTCGTCATTTTGAGGAGAAAAAAAGGTTGAAATTCTTTGATTCCAGCTTTCTGAATGTGAATATTTTCTGGTTTCTTTGACAGTAAACAGAATATATTTGAATTATGGACAAAACAAGGCATTCGATTGGGTCGTGTTGGGTTTTGGAGACACACATGGACACTTATCTAATTTAATAAAAGTGAAAATTTGTCGTTTAATTGATTCATGATGATCATCTACTGTAATGAGCAAACTTCAGCCAATCAGCACGTCGTAGTACAAACATTACACCAGACAGCGAGGAGGAGAAGGTTTTCTTAAAAGAAATCTGCTTCTCACAACAGAGAGAGAGCTTCCTTCCTCTAAAATGTGAATTATTCAGCAGCGTAGACAAACCGTCCTGTTATTTTTGACGTCTTGTAATGGATTTAAAAAAAGGTTTCAGAAGAAAATGTTCAAGTCTTGACCCGGCGGCAGCGATACGAACTCAGAAGGCCGCCTCAGCGCGCACGGCGAGGCGAGGATGAGTGTATTAGCACACGTGTCCGCTCGCATAAAGGCCGCATTGTTAAGGAGGCCGTAAACATCGTCATCGTCTTCATCCTCATCAGCGAGGTGGAGGCGGATGCTGGCAGGATGCCGTTGTGACTCTCCGCAGCGCCGGGACACGGTGTCATCACCTCCTCTCAGAGCCCCGAGGCCGGAGGAAGACGAGGAGGAGCGCTGATGAAGGTGTTAGTCATCCCGTAGTGACCTCCTTCTCCCGCCTCCTCCTCCTCCTCCTCCTCCACATGACTTCTCTCTGAAGCGACGTCCACTCGGCTCCGGCTCCCCCATCATCGGCGTCCTCGCTCCGCCCGGGGCCAGAAGTCTCATCTCTGCTTTTTGTCGTTTTCTTTGTTTTTTTATCCTCACTTGTCCTCTCTCTGGCCTCGTTTCTTCTCCTTCTTATTTGTTTTCATTGAGCCTGATCGTTTCTCTTGAACAGATCCCACAAGTCGAGGCCTGGATCAGCTTTACGGGATACCTTAGACACAACACAAGTCACTTCTAGTCGGCACATTTCATGCTGTTTTTATTCCACCTAACCATAAAAGAACGTATAAAAATATTTTCTTTTGGGCTTCAAAACCAAACGCGCTGATATGTTTGTCAGGTCTGTCAGTCTGAGTATCAACATTCATCATTTATCCGGTAAATATCTCCCTGACGCTGTTCTCACACACAAACAATGTGTTTCCTCTCCGCAGGCTCTGAATGGATTCGTTCTGGTGGTGACGGCGGAGGGAATCATCTTCTTCTGCTCTCACACCATCCAGGATTACCTCGGCTTCCATCAGGTAAGAGCCACCTTCACTTCCACCTGTAGGGCAGGGCCGGGTTCAGGCAGTAGTGATAATTATTCATGCTGTTTTTTTAAAAATAAAAGTTCCCAGTCTCACATGTTACCCTCATATTCACCGCTCACTGAAGACAGATTTATGAAAATGCTAAAACTGCACATTTAGCTATTATTTAGGTTTTGTTAAGCACCAAAAATAAAAAGAGTAGGAATAATTTTTTGGGCTTCATATACAGGACCGTTGAGAGTTTCAGTTCCCAGAAAGCTGACTGGGAGAGCAGCAAGTGAACGCACCGTCCTCGCACCGGGACAAATGCCCATATGGAGCGAGAGCTTTAATCCACTTGGCTTCACAACAAAGCGCCGCTGCCTCCAGTCTAATCTCACTTTAGAGAACGTGATTATCAAATTAACCTGTCTGACTGTGTGACACACTCGCACACAGACAGACTCAAACACAGCGTCTGCATCTACATCTGATAGATAATCACCCAAACACGTCCTCCCCGGCCTTCCCATACACTCTGGGTGCCGGATCGGGGTGTGAACGTCACCTTTCACCCCTCATTTCCCCGTCCACCTGAGGCCCGTCACCTCCTGTTTACCCAACAAACCCAAATCTGCGCCGAAGCTGCCCTTGCGCGGCGTTTGGAAACAACCCCACGCGGTGTGACGGCCAGGAGAGCTGAAGGGAGCGCCACCCATATCACACACACATAAGAGCAAGAAACGCCGGGTGTCAGCAGTTGTTGTAACACCCACGAAGTAGGACAAAACTGAGGAACAAACACAGAGACTTTTCTGCACTACTGAGAACAATAAACATGTTAAATAGGCAGAGAGCGACATGTACCAACAATCAACTACCAAATAAACTTCAATTACAAAAGAGGCAGCAGAGAATAAAGCTTTAAAATGAGTGGCTGGATAAAATAATGTAGCTTAAAGACAGCTGGTAGGTGATTAGGTTTAAGGGTTTTGGTATAAAATAAGTGTTCAGCTTCTTCCTTAAACCCTTTTTGAACTTTGAAACATGGTTTTGAGTATCAAATGTTAACTTTTGTTTTAAATTTCTGGTTCAAAATAAAGAAAATTCAAACAATATCGCAGACTTTCTCGGGTCAAATTTGACCCGTTTTGACAGCAGTCAAAAAAAAATCTAAACGTCTTTTAGCTTGAAGTTTGTTGAGTTTTCCTAAAGTGACCCAAAGTACACAAAAATGAAAGTATTTTAAAATGTTCTACTTTTCCACAGGTGCTCCAAATGTTTGGGGTCAAATGTGACCCGTATATCCATTGAGATGGATGTTATATCGACCAGTGTGGGTCAAATCAACAAAGATGGTGGTTTTAGGGAATCTTGGAACTGTGAAACTGTCCAGGCCATGTTTTATGTGTATTTTATATTTATATTTATTAACGTGACATCGGCTGTTTAGACCATCTAAATAGAGCTGTAGTTTAACAGTTGGTGTATGAGGTCTATGAGGGAATTCTGGACAGGAATTCTTTACAGTACGGTCCGGGTCAGAGTTGATGTTGGATTAATATCAGAGACGATTGTTTCTGCTTGTCATTGAGGAAGCCCAACTGACTTTGTGCTAAAGAGCAGTGATGAGTAACAAGTTTCTAACGGTTTTAAATTAAAATGCTTTCAATAGATCAGCACTCTGTTAACTGTCTCACTGTCTTGTGCTAAGCTAAGCTAAGCTAA